GGAGGCTTTTAAGGCGCCCAAGATGGCCTGAAAGACGGCTCTGGAGCATTCCAAGAGGACCCCAAGTCGGCTCAGAGAGGCCCCCCAAACGGCTTCCGACGGCATCGGACGGGCCAGGGGCCCACCAAGACGGCCGAAGATGGCACTGAGATGGCCCAAGACGGCCCACAAGGCCTCCAAGAGGGCCTCCAGGAAGGCCCGAAAAGGCCAAAATCATTGATTCCTCATGAGTTTTTGAAGGATTACGCATTTGATGTTGTTCGGCTTTCCGACGGCCCGAGACGGCCCAAGCGCCCCCAAAGATCGCCCAAGAGGCCCAAGACGGCCCAAGAGGCCTCCAAGACGCTCAAGATGGCCTCCAAGACGGCCCAAGAGCCCTCCAAGACGTCCTCCAAGAAGGCCCGAAAGGGTCAAAATGGCCTCCAGGCGGCCAAGATGACCTTCAAGATGCCCACGTGTTCCCCGAAGGCTTTCAAAACTGATTCGGGGAACACATGGTCAGATAGCTTGGCAGGTCTGGCCTCAACGTTTGGCCACGTAGGCGCTTCCAAAAAGGCAGAGGGCGGCGGTGATTCGCCGTAGGCGTCTTCGATCCGCCACCCCCTGTCGATTCATCGCAGGGGTGCCTGGCGGGCTGAGCCCTCTCGGTTTAGGTTTTGGTTCTTTTCCAAAAGAACTCCCCCTGCCGTCCCGCGGGAGTCCCGGAAGGATTGCCCAGGATCTTCCAGAGCCGATTGCAAAAGGTTTTCCTGCCCCAGACGGCTCCAAAATGGCCCAAGATGGCCTCCAAGACGCGTCAGATGGCCCCAAGATGCCTCCAAGACGGCCCAAGATGCACCCAAGACGGCCTCAGATGGCCTCAAGATTGCCCAAGACGGCCGAAGAGACCCCCAAGAGGCCTCCAAGACAGCCCAAGAGGCCTCCAAGAGGTCCTCCAGAAGGAGCCGAAGAGGCCAAAGTCATGGATTTTCCATTGGATTTTGAAGGATGTTGACATTTGCTTCTTTTCGGCCTTCCGACGGCTGAAGACGGCCCAAGAGGCACCCACGATCGCCCCAACATCGCCCACGAGGCCTCCAAGATGGCCCTATGACGGCCCAAGAGGCCCCCAAGACGGCCCCAAGAGGGCTCCAAGACGGCCCAGGAGGCCTCAAAGACGCCCAGGATGGCCTCCAAGACGGCCAAGATGGCCCCGAGATGCCTCCAAAACGGCCGGCCTGAGATGGCCTCCAGATGGCCTCAGACGGCCCAAGAGGCCCCCAAGAGGCCTCCAAGACGGCCCAAGAGGCCTCCAAGAGGTCCTCCAGGAGGGCCCGAAGACGCCGACATTAATGATGTTCCTTAGGTTTTTGAAGGATTTTGGCATTTGCTTCTCCGACGGCTGAATACGGCCCCAGAGGCCCCCAATATCGCCCACGAGGCCTCCAAGATGGCCCCATGACGGCCCAAGAGGCCCCCAAGACGGCCCCAAGACGGCCCCAAGAGGGCCCAAGGGGCCTCCAAGACGGCTAAAATTGCCTCCAAGACGGCTAAGATGGCCCCAAGACGCCTCTAAGGCGGCCTAAGATGCACACAAGACGGCCTCAGATGGCCTCAAGATGGCCCAAGGCGGCCCAAGAGACCTCCAAAACGGCCCAAAAGGCGTCCAGGAGGTCCTCCAGGAGGGCACGGCGAGGCCAAACTCATTGATTGTCCAAAGGTTTTTGACAGATTTTGGCCTTCGCTTCTTCTCGGCACTCCGACGGCTCAAGACGGCGCTAGAGGCCCCCAAGATCGCCCAAGAGGCCTCCAAAATGGCCCCATGACGGCCCAAAAGGCCCCCAAGACGGCCCCAAGAGGGCCCCAAAACGGCCCAAGAGGCCTCCAAGACGCCCAAGATGGCCTCTAAGAACCGCTGATATGCCCTAAGAGGGCCCCAAGACGACCCAAACAGGCCCCCAAGACGGCTTCCGATAGCGTCAGACAAGCCAGGAACGCCCTCAGACGGCCAAAGAGGCCCCCAAGAAGGCCCCAAAGGCCCCTCCAAACCCTCCAGGAGGCCGCCAGGAAGCCCCCAGGAGGCCCTTAGAGTGCCCCAAGAGGCGCCCAAGAGGCCTCCTCCTCCTCCTCCTCCTCCTCCTCCTCCTCCTCCTCCTCCTCCTCTTGTTTCCTCATCCTCCCCCTCCTCATATTCTTGCTCCCCCATGCGTTCCCCGAAGTCTTTCCAAACTGACTCGGGGAACAACTGGCCCGATAGCCTGGCCAAGCAGAGGCGCTTCCAAAGGGGCAGGGGGCGGCGGTGATTCGCCGTAGGCGTCTTCGATCCGCCACCCCCTGTCGATTCATCGCAGGGGTGCCTGGCGTGCTAGATCTTTTCGGTTTTGGTGTTGGTCCTTTTTCCCAAAAGAACTCCCCCCATGGGGCTTCGGCCCGTCCCGCCGGCCACCCGGAAAGATCGCCCGGCTTGCCCTGAGCCGGTTGCCAAGGGTTCTTCCTGCTCCAGGCGGCTCTAAGACGGCCCAAGATGGCCTCCAAGACGGCCAACATTGCCTCCAAGACGCCTCAGATGGCCCCAAGATGCCTCCAAGACGGCCCAAGATGCATCCAAGACGGCCTAAGATAGCCTCAAGATGGTTCAAGACGGCCCAAGAGGCCCCCAGGAGCCCCAAAGGAGGCCTCCAAGACGTCCTCCAGGAGGGTCCGAAGAGGCCAACATTGGTGGTTTTCCCTAAGTTTTTGAAGGATGTTGGCCTTTGCTTCTTTTCGGCATTCCGACGGCTCATGACGGCCCCAGAGGCCTCCAAGATCGCCCCAAGATCGCCCACGAGGTCTCCAAAATGTCCTCATGACGGCCCAAGAGGCCCCCAAGAAAGCCCCAAGAGGGCCTCAAGACGGCCCAAGACGCCTCCAAGGCGGCCCAAGATGCACCCAAGACGGCCAAGATGGCCCCGAGATGCCTCCAAAACGGCCCAAGATGCACCCAAGACGACCTAAGATGGCCTCCAAATGGCCTCAGACGGCCCAAGAGGCCCCCAAGAGACCTCCAAGACAGCCCAAGAGGCCTCCAAGGCGTCCTCCAGGAGGGCCCGAAGAGGCCAAAATTTGTGGTTCCCCAAAAATTTTAGAAGGATGTTGGCCTTCGCTTGTTTTCGGCATTCCGGCGGCTCTAGACGGCCCCGCAGGCCCCCAAGATCGCCCGCGAGGCCTCCAAGATGGCCCCATGACGGCCCCAACTGGGCCCCAAAACGGCCCAAGAGGCCTCCGAGACGCCCAAGATGGCCTTTAAAAACCCTTGATATGCCCCAAGAGGGCCCCGAAGCGACCCAGACAGGCCCCCAAGACGACTTCCGACGGCGTCAGACAAGCCAGGAACGCCCTCAGACGGCCAAAGAGGCCCCCAAGAAGCCCCCAAAGGCCCCTCCAAACCCTCCAGGAGGCCGCCAGGAAGCCCCCAGGAGGCCCTTAGAGTGCCCCTAGAGGCGCCTCCTCCTCCTCCCCCTCCTCCTCCTCCTCTTGTTTCCTCATCCTCCCCCTCCTCCTATTCTTGCTCCCCCATGCGTTTCCCGAATGTCTTTCCAAACCGACTCGGGGAACAACTGGCCCGATAGCTTGGCCAAGCTCTGGCACAGCTGTCGGCCACAGAGGCGCTTCCAAAGGGGCAAGGAGCGGCGGTGATTCGCCGTAGGCGTCTTCGATAAACCGTTTAACCGGGGGAATTTCCCTCGAACCGTCGGCCGTGCCTTCACGGAAACGAAAAAAACGCTGGCAACTAAAAGCTAAAGAGGCTCAGACACTCCAGAAGTATGTAGAACACACCCGCCGACCCTGTCGGCGTGTGTGAGACGATTTCGTCCGCGTGGTCGCCGCCATCCCTCCTGCAACAATCCACTTCAGCCACTACACCACATAACATCGCTGACATGGAAGTAAAGGCGAAGCAATCCACTCCAGCCATTACGCCACATAATATCGTTCACATGGGAGGTGAAGGCGAAGCCCTTCCCTTGGATCCCTTCCCGAACTGGGGGTGTCCCGGGGGGTGGTCATAGGGGGTGGTCCCCCGGGGTGGTTCCGGGGGGGGTTCCGGGGGTAATGTTATTGATTCTTTACCAGGGCCCCCACTCCAACAGCTCCCCCTCCTTCTCCGAAGTGACGGCGAAGCCCTTACATTGGATCCCTTCCCGGGGAGGGGGGGGGTGTCCCGGGGGGGGTCCCGGGGTGGTCCCGAAAGGTGGTCCCGGGGGGGTGGTCCCGGGGGGGGTCCCGGGGGGGGGTCGCACGGGGTAATGTGATTGTTTCTTTACTAGGGCCCCAACTCCAACAGCTCCCCCTCTTTCTCCTTATCTCCTCCCCCCTCCGACCCGCGCGCAAAAGATCCGGGGGTGGCCACTGGAGGAGGAGGGGGAGGAGGAGAGAGGAGGAGGAGGACAAGGAGGAGGAGGAACAGGAGGAAAAGCAGCAAAAGTTCATCCTCCTCCCCCTCGCCTTCCTTACATCCTCCCCCTCGTCTTCCTTACATCCTCCTCCTCCCCCTCCTCTTCCTCCTCCTCCTCCTCCTCCCTCCCTCCTCCTCCTCCTCCTCCTCCTCCTCCTCCTCCTCATTGTCCTCCTCCTTGTCCTCCTCCTCCTCCTCCTCCTCCTCCTCCTCCTCATTGTCCTCCTACTGGCCGTCGATGTGTTTCAGGGTCGGCGGCATCGGCCGTCAGGCCCTCTCAATGTAAAACACACCGGTCGGATTGAAGACTCCCGTGGGAGACCTGCCGATCCATCACGTAACGCGAGGCCTTCCCTCTATTCGAGACCACCGTTCAGTGGACGAGCATGATCAGCTTGTGACGGGCGAGGCCGAACAAAAACATCAGAACGCTCGACCACGACGGTTCTTGCTCCTTGCCGCTCGGGGAAACAAGAAAACGAGCGAGAGAGAGAGAGCGAGAGAGAAAAAACCGCCCGCGTCCTTCGAACATTCCGCGGCGCAGAGGCAGTCTGATGCCACTGCGGGGGGGGGGGGGGGATGCCGCCTGACGTGTCCAGCGGCCCTGCAGAGCCTGGCGCCCGCGCGCCCACAGAGAGCGAGGCTCGGCAGGCAGCGGGAGAAAGACAGCCGGGAAAATGGCACTGCTCGCAAGACTCTGGCCAAAAGGCATACAGTGGGCTCGGCAGAATCATCAGTGACGCGGCTGGCACTCTTGAGCAGCTGCTACGTACGTCCAGTACCACTACATCCCTCCTCGAAATCAGACGCAAGTTTTTTCCCGCGTCGTGGCGACGCCCCCGGGCCGCCAATGTCACTGTTGACGCCGACGCTGGCGACTGCAATTTGTTCGTTGGCCCCGCGGGCCGCGCTGCGCGCGCCCATGAACATTGAAATTCGGGGGCGGCGGGGTAGGATCAAAACTTGCGTTTGCTCTCGAGGGGGGCTGCCGCGGCACTGCTGGAACCACTGCGTGCGCAACGCGCTTCGCTGCAAGCTGGCATAGAGAAACAGAATCACGCGCGTGCTGCTGATTTACAAGACGTCGCCCATAGGCATTACATGAAACCTTGCGTGCCATGGGAGAGGGCCCCAGGCGTGGACACCCTTGCCCCTGTGGCGGTGCGGGGTCTCCTTGGGGTGGCTCTGAGCTCTGGGGGCGGGCGCGGGGCCGTCTCAGAGCGCCGTGGGACGCGCTGGCCAGGGAGAGCCCCTGCGGCTCCAACACTGTTCGAAGACGGCCCGAAGAAAGCCACAGGAGAGAGGGCCCAAAGACAACCCCCACCTGACCCAAATCCCACCAGCCCTCTGGGCGTAAGTGGTCTAGGGATCATCCTCTTCGAAAGAGCGCGTCCTGTGGTCGCTTGGAGGGGGGGGGTTGGAACTGGACCCCCCCCCCTTCCCCTGTGGTGGTTGGTGGTGATGGTGGTAGGTTGTGCTGCTGGTAGTGGTGGCGGCTGTGGCAGTGGTGGTGGTGGTGGTGTGGTCGATTGTGGTGGTGGTGGTGGTACTGGTGGGTTTTTGTGGTGATGGTGGTGGTGGTGATGGTGAGTTGTGGTGGTGGTGGTTGTGGTGGTGGTGGTGGTGTGGTGGTGGTTTGTGGTGGTGGTGGTGGGGGTGGGTTGTGGGGGTGGCGGTAGTGTGTGGACGTGGTGCTGGTGGTGGTGGCGGTAGTGGTGGTGGTGGTGGTGGTGGTGGTGATGGTGTGGTGGTTTTTGGTGGTGGCGGTGGGTTGTGCTGCTGGTAGTGGTGGTGGTTGTGGCGGTGGTGGTGTGGTCGATTGTGGTGGTGTTAGTGGTGGTGGGATTTTGTGGTGGTGGTGGTGGTGATGGTGAGTTGTGGTGGTGGTGGCTGTGGCGGTGGCGGTGGTGGCTGTGGTGGTGGTGGTTGTGTGGTGGGTTGGTGGTGGCGGTGGTGGTGGATTGAGGCGGTGGCGGTGGTAATCGTCGCTGCGACACCGCCGTCGCTGGCGCCAGCGCCGGCGCTGCTGGCCGCCGCCAGCGCCGGCACCGGCGCCAGGGGGGGGGGTTTGAACCCCCCCCCCCTGGCGCCAAGGGGGGGGGGTTGGAACCCCCCCCCACCTTGGGCTGCTTCTGGTCATCGTCGCTGCGTCCCCGCCGTCGGCGCTGCTGGCGGCCGCCAGCGCCGGCGCCGGCGCCGAGGGGGGGGAGGGGGGGTTTTGAACCCCCCTCCCCCCCTTGGGAGGGGGGGGGGGTCGGGAGGGGGAGGGTTTGGGGGAGAGGGGAATCCCCCTGGTTTTTATCGACGGCGCCGAGTTTTGGGGGGGGGCCCACCCCCTGGTTCGAAACGCGCCGCCGAATGTTCCCAAAGCAAATGCCCGTGAAACGCGTCCGAATGTTCCCAAGGCAAGCGCCCGTGAAACGCGTTCTCTCTTCTCTTCTAACCCCCTTCTTCCTTTTTGGGGAGTGGGTTGCCCCTCCCCGTGACCCCCTCTCCTGGACTTGGACGGGGGTGGTCGCGGGTAGTTGGAGCGTCCAAGATGGCCCACGATGGTCCAAGATGGCCTCAGAGGAGTGCAAGACGTCCTCCAAGATGGCTCCAGATAGCGCAAGATCTCTCAAGATGGCTTCCCAAATGCTTCAAGAGGCCCCAAGACCGCCTCAAGACGGCTCCGAGTGCCCGAAGAGCTCCCCAAGGAGGCCCCGAAGAGACCAAAATCCTTCAAAAACCTAAGGAGCATCAACGTTGTTGGCTTTCTCGCCTTTTCGCGTCCGATGGCCATCCGAGGCCTCAAGATGGCTCCAAGATGGCTCAAGAGGACCCCGAGAGGGGCCCAAGAGGGCCACATGACGTCCCCAAGAGCGCCCAAGAGCGCCCCAATAGGCGATTTTGGTACTATCAAAGGGCAAAGCTAATTAAAGCCCCCCTCTTGTTGTATCGATGTCTCCAAGATGGCTCCAAGAGCGCCTCTGAAGCTCCCAACCCCAAGAGGCGCCCAGACTGCTCCAAGAGGCGCCCAAAGGGCCTCCGAGAGTCTCCCAAGAGACCCTCAAGAGGCCTCAAGAGGATCCCCGAGGCACCCAAGACGCTCAAAGACGGCCTTGGGCACGCCAAGATGCCCCCCCAAACGCCCCAAGAGGCCTCCAAAAAGCTTCCGAACGACATCCGAGGAGACTCCGAAAGCATTCAAGAGGCTTCTGGCTCTTCGGTTCGCCCTTTTCCTCCTCCTCCTCCTCCTCCTCCTCCTCCTCCTCCTCCTCCTCCGGCTCCTCCCCCTTCTTCCCCCTCTTGGGGTACGACGGTACTTCCCCACGTCCTTGATCATGGCAACTCGTCTGGGCATGGCTTCTGGATGGGCTGTCCTTTTCCTTTTCCTCTCCCTCCTCCTCATCCTCCTCATCATCCGCCTACTCCACTGTATGCTCCTCTGGATGGGCTGGTGGGGTTACGCAAAGCGTCTAGAATTTGTCAAGAGCCAAAGTAACTCCTCGGGTTGGGTGGAAAATCTCTTGGATTTCCAATGTATAGTTCGGATATTGCTCCAAAAGGCGACGCCAGAAGCGCCGCCAAAGGAGTCCAGCACTAATACAAAGCAATCCGTGTGGATCTCCGAAAGTTTCTGTTTATGTAGCTTCTCCTTCTTCTGGTAAAAATCGCCCGCGCAATCGTGGACCGATCGGAACGCTTGCGTGGTCGGGACGATCGAATCGTAGCCCGTCCGCAGGGCTGGAAGTCGCCTGCAAAGAGTCCGAGCAACCATCTGCACGCATCATCGGATCGACTGAATGGTTGGAAGCCCGTCGCATGCTCAACCCTCCCCCTCGCCACTCCCTCTCTTTCTCGCCTCCCCGTCACCCCCAGGGGGCAGGAACAGGATGAAAACAAACGAAAGAGCGTGGGAAGGAGGAACACGGATGATCAGCATGGAAAAGAAGGAAGGAGGAGGGAGCATGGCAACCATAACTTGCTAGCTGCATCGATGTATGTAAATCGAGAAATGTGCATCACGAATGTGTCTTGCTGACTCATTTCTTACGTGAGAGATAGTGTTCGTTCGCCTTGCGTCGGTTCAATACGCCTTCCAAACACGTGGCCAACATGGATAACACCACGGC